GGGTTGCATGAGTTTAGGTATAATATACTTGATCTCATGTAATGCATGCGGCGAGGAATATATCGGGGAAACGGGTAGACCACTTTGTGTCCGCATAAAAGAACATCTAGATGGAAAAGCTAAAATCCGTTTAAACACCCCTCTAGGTACGCATAGGGCACAAATGCACAATGGTTTTGAAGTGAATGTGCGGACCCTAGCGCAGGAATCAAAAACATCAACGCGCAAGACTCTTGAGGCGTTTTGGATAAATTTCAAAAATCCAAAGATGAACCGGAAGGACGAATGCCTCACTATCACGCGTGACCTGGCGCCCTATTTCAAAATAATATTTTGACCCCGGGGCGTGTCTTGCTATCGTGAACTACGTGTGGGCCAGTCCCGCACGTAACATCACGGTGAGTGGCCTTTCTGTTCAATATGGCGTCTATTTGAAAGTTTGATCTTCATTAACACTTTAACCTTCTTTTCCACCGAATAGTAAAAAGTATTCTAACATAAAATACGTCCAGACTCTGAGGAAGGCGAAGTCGCCGAAACGTCAGCCATCGATCAATAACATCAAAAACAACGACAACGACAACGAAGATCTGTACCAACCTCGCGTCAGCTTAAGACGACCAGTTTATAAGATCACATAAATAAATATTGATGGAATATTTGTATTAAGCCTTCGTTTTGCCGACAACATCGTTGTCTTTCCTGCGAAGCAGAGACGATTATCAATTGGCGGAACGAAGTGGGAAAAAAGATCGGACTGCGCATAAATCGGAGGAAGTTCCAGTTCGTGAAAAACCCATTTTGCGAAAACGAGAAAATTGAATTGGATGGCTCTCTGATTGCAGAGGCCACCTCGTACGTACACCTTGGGCGATCACTGAACGTGGAAAACAACGTGAAGGAGGAATTAGATAGAAGAAGGAGAGCAGCTTCGACCGCATTCGGGCCTCTGAAAGAAGCCGCTGACCAACAGAAGGACTCGAGAATCCGCGCTCACCTTTTCGATTCAACGGTCTTCCCAGCGCTCTCTTATGCTGCAGAGACGTGGGCTGATACTTCAACCACGTCAAGAGTTCTCCGCACTACTCACAGAGCGCTTGAGCGATGTCTTCTGAAGTATAACCGGCACTCTCAATATCTAGCCGGAATGCGAAGCCCTAATCTGTCAAATCTTCGAGATCTAGGAGAATATACATCGATAGCGAAACATAGATGGGCCTTACACGAGCTTACACGAGATTGATAAATATGCCTGTTTTTGGTTAACGTTTCGACATCTTCGTCTTCAACAGAGCCGACGATCTGAGTCGTTGGTCCACGCTTGTTATTCGTCTCGATGCGGCTTCGCCTTCGTGTCGAGTCAGGTCTTCCTCAGTGTGCCATCTCTTCGAATGAGGCACACTCACCCGGTGATGCCCTTTCATACAGGACGCTGATGGTGGATATAATGATTGCCCAGTCATAATAACTTGTTTTTCATCCAGGCAATGCATCTTGCAGAAGTTAGTGTTATTATCAGCCAGTACAAAGCGTAGTAATATTTCGAAACCGACTTTCCTTTAACCTCGATGTGACTAATCAATGTGTATTCTTTCTTTGTTCTTCTATTCTTTTTACTCATATAACATTGTCACGATTGCAAGATATTTATTGTTTACGTTTAGACTGTACCGATACAAACGAAAGTTGTCACACAATTCTTTCGTTTCCCGATAGTCATAAAGTGTTAAGAAATTGTGCAGTTATTTAACACAAATGTATCAATAACATCTGATCATCTTCAAAACCGGGTTTAATACCTAATACGATGAATCACATAGGTAGAGAATGTATTGCCTAAAAAAATATATAGAAAGTCTTTCGAGAAGATTTTTATGTTCCTGAAGTTGAAACGTAACACGTAACACTGATGAACACTAGCTGTTTGGAGAATGGGCTTTTTCCAAACAGTTCTTGCCGACTCTGCAGAGTTCCCGTTCAAATTCGGAGATAGTCGACATTGTATAAACTCTTGATGAATGACCAGCAATCAGCTAAACGAAATTGGCTTTCAACGAAGAAGTTCAGAACGTTGCGAAGCAAATCATTGCGGCGTTAAAAAAAGCATAACGAACAGCCTGTTCAAAAATTATTAAGAGGTATTAGGAACAAGGTTAAATGAAGACGTGCAGCTAGGAGACAAGAATGTATTTTTTGAAGCATTCTTTTCTCTGTTTTTCCTCTCCGCACTAAAAATACACGTCTGACCTCGAGCTCTTTTCGATTTATAGGTTTGCCATCCTTGTCCATGCCAATAACAAATACCATTACCCCCATGTTGTGCAGAAAACGAGCTCCTGAATCAAGTGAATCTGAACGTGGACAACACTACATTGAAAAGCGGCAAACGAGATTTGGTGAGCTTTATAGGAGCTTTATAGAAGTGTGACCTTTAGAACTATAGCAGCGATCAAATCTATATTTCCGATTTACCGACGAAAACCAGCGATGGTTAAAAATTTCTTAGAAAAAGCTTCTACTGCAAAATAATATTTAGCTTACATCAAATGAAGAGATGTGACAAGACGTTAGAAATTCGAAATAGATGCCACGACCGACTTTCTATTAACCTCGGCATTGATCAAGTAATTTTCTTCGTATTTTTGTTGAGCAAACGCGAGGTGTTACTATTCTTTGTTCACGATTAAGCTGACGTTTCGGCGGATTTCGCCTTCCTCAGAGCCGCTTCCTATGAGGTTTCCACTAAGTATGAAATAGAGTTCTGCCACCCCTGCACACCAGTAATTCGTATTTTAGTGCTTTAAGTATTTGTGTAGTAGAGTGATATGATGTAGATACATGACTGAACCAGCAGTACGGGCTTATAATTTACTGATAGTTGAAGTCCTTCAAGTCATCTACGTTCACTTTGGTTCATCTGTTTTTTATTTATATTTGATTTTAAAACGGATACTAACCTTCTGTTGGATCCACAGTGCTGTAACCATCTGTGAATACAATAGCAATCGGTTTCGCTTTGCTAGGTCTTGCGCCTTTTCTCTTAAAAGTCGACTGTGCTCATAAAAGCATCTGATGCTCACTATCTCAAATTCACTTACAGAGAAGACACTAGCGGCTTTCAGTAGCGCTTCATTTGTGCATGTCGTTCCACTCAAAAATTTTATGCGAGCAATTCGTTTCTTGATTTCTTTCTTAGCGGTGATATGGCTTAACATATGTACACTGGTTTAATTTAAAACAGAACCAAATGAGTGGGAAGACCTACTTAAAATCGAGAATTACACGCGATTTCCCACTACCAGCGTATTTGATGACAGCGATCTAAAAGCAATTGATTTCTCATGAAATCTGTTAAATGACCATCTGTATCTGTCTTTGCCGTTGTGAGTTCTATCTCCTCTTTCTGGTCGCGATCCAAAAAGAAAACTATAAAACATCAACCAACCCTTTTAGATTCATATAGAGGATCCAATACGGCATATCACTGTTCATTCTAAAGAAAAGCGTTAAAGTAAAATGACACCGACCTGAGAGTCATTGGGGCCGATTACTAATTTATCAATGAGGCGAATGGCAATTTCAAGCTCGTCTCCAAACCTTCCCTTAAGTGATCCAGATGCGTCGAACACAAGGACAATGTCGTAACGACAGGTGGGAACTGAAATAAAAACTGTAGCCGTTTTCCACCTAGAAATCTCGGAATTGAGTGCAAATGAATGCTCGACACTACTGTCGTTAACGACAGCGCAACTTGTGGTTTGTTATCTATTTATAAAAAAGTACACCAAATTGCCATATCAAATCCACATGTTATTTATTAAATGCGAGAAATCCAATCCATGAAGCAAGGAATACTTGTAACCCATATCAAATTACTATCCAGCTTTCGTAAGTTGTTTCAGTTGCACTGGAACCCCTAGCATTCATTCAACGTCAATATATTCACATCCATAAACAGACCGGCTAATACGAACTGAGTTCCTTCTAAAATTCACCTATTGTTTCACCATTTCTCACTTCTACTCTTCTTATAAATCTGAAGCAACAAAAAATTCAGGATTAATAATACTATGATGGAATGTTTTAACCATAGTTGTTTATCAGCAGTAATGATCTCCTATGAGCACAGATTCATAAAAAACGTTGCACTTTATTTTCATTCAGCTTCACTAAATTTTCCTCAACTCTGTCATCTAAAAATTCGACAACTAGAAGCATGCTCGCTGCTATTAACGATTTAACAACGTGCTAAAGCTGTGCGAATACCCAAAGGTAGAAAAGCTGCTTAACACGCCTAGCACTCCGGTCCCATCTCAACCAAGCCTCTTCTTCCTGCGCATTGAGAAAATAGGCTTTTAAAGTTGTCTGAGAAGTCCTCTTTTAATTCACAATTGCTGGTGATGACCTACAAATGCCCTTGCAGGATCGTGACAGAATTCGAGTTGGAAATTAGCCGGCATTCCACGACGGCATTCTATTAATATAGAAAGATCAAAAGTCCTCAAGCAGCAACTGGATACATGTGAATAATCCGAAAAACGTCGATGATTATAAACGTAACTAAACATACAAAAAAGAAAAGCTTAGAACGGTGATGACTTTATAAGTTCAAACCACATACACGAATATCGGCGTTTTCAAGTTTCTTTAATAAGCTTTTATTTTACGCCAATAAACCCTTTCTGGGTTAACCCTACTAACAAATAAACGGATATACAAATTCGCCTCCACTGGGGCGCTTTTAGTGCAGTCGTTAGAGATGCTTTGAAAGGTACACGTGATTTTTGGCTCTACCCCTTCCCAAGGCACAACAACCATTCTATCGCTCCAGGATCAATTCGTCAGCACAAGACTGGTCTGAGAGGATAGCAGTACCGACTTGGTGCAATAATAACCCATCGCACATTGTTTTATAGGCCAGGCCAGGTATGCATTCAACAATCTGCAACGATACTTAATAAAGTCGAAGGCGTTGCATAATCGTCAAGGATCGAAACACCTGAGAGCTTTGTCAGCCATTGTTTCTTGTCTTCCTACAGTGAATGTAGTCAGTGCGGTGGACATAAAATCTTGTAGAATACAGAAGGAGAACCTGGCACAACTCGAATTGAGCATACTTTTTAGTGATAATTGCTTTTCGGGTTTTCTTCGTTTCCGGTTTAGTGCGATATTATCCAGATTGAGCCGGATTCCTCATACGATGCTTTCCTAGGAGATGCGTTCTCATTGCGAGACCATAACGGCAACAACCAGATATTTCATATTCACTTTTTCCTAATGGCAGAGCTTTAACTTCTACGGTAATTATCATGGTCCGAAAACATTTTTAACAAACTTGCAGCAAAGTTCTTGATGTTTCGCTCCTCTTCATTCCCATTATCAATCGAATTTAGTAGATCCGTTTGCTGCATGGTAGCTGTAAATAAGAAATTATTGTAAAACAAATAAATGAAGCAACGGTACTTATTTCATACAAGCGTATTTTTAGGGGATCGGGAATCTGTCCAGTGCTATGTGGAATTTAGGCCGCTATTGCGATTATAACTACAATATGCACGAAATACTACTTAGCGAGTCATCTTTAAGCACGTTGGAGGCGGTACGAGCAGATCCTCCAGAACTTTGTTGATCTGCCAAGACTCCGGAGCCCTCAGTTTCCAAATATTTCAAGCCCTCATTGCCTATAAATACCACTATACCACATTTAGCAGTGTTTTTGCTCTAACTACAGAATCTAACGACTTGCAAACCCGTTTTCGGATCGTTCCATCCAGAGCTTTCCAAGTTGTTTCCCGAAACTCTTGTTGACTCTAAAGTTCAGAAATAGTTTCATAAACAAAACTTCGGTGAAGTTGTTCTCTTCGCACCATAACCAGATTTACCTCCAATTGGTTCTTCATAAGAGATTTCATTCAAATGAGGTATAGGAATGAGATGTCGACCTTGGCTGTCCGTAACGGTTTTAGTGTAATGCACTGTAGCAGTATCCACCTAAAAAAGCAGGTTCCTTCCACTTCGTTTTGCTGAAATTCGCAAATTTCAAAGAAAGGTTAAGGGTAAATTGTAAAAACTTAAGATTCGTTGCACAAGATTGATAACTTTCTTGCGACTGATAACGGAACTTAGTGCTAGAGTGCAAAACAAGTCTTTTTCTGCATCAAGATTTAATAAAGAAAAGTGGGATTAATTACATAGACTTTTTTGAAAATATTGAAAGCGGACAAGGTTATGATAGTTTTGTTAAATTCTATTCCATAGTAAGAGTGGTACTAGCGTTATTAGAACATCCTCGTCCTCAGCCTAGCAGTCAACTGATCAAACGAATCGCGCTTGCCATCACAGGATTATTGCCATCCTGGAAGAACCGCAATGGCAGGGCATCAAGCCTCAATATTATACAAAAAGAACTGTCCGTGCCTGTGGTGAAACCATGAGGATGCCCAACACGGTTATCTCACGGTTGAAGGGAACGTCGAGCTCGAACAACACTTTGCATTTCAGTAGTGAAGAAGGATGACAGATTTCTCAGTCAATCTCTAGATTGTAATCGCAAACGGATAAAACGCGCAGAAGCAGGATTAGGGTCCGCATGCCATGAAAGAGAATGCAATCTAAGATTCCGTGTTAATTGCTAGCTTAAATAGTACGAAAAAAGTAGGCTACGAAGTTAGGGGATTTGTCGAAAATGTCTCAATAAATTATATAGTAATTTGAAAGAAAAAGTCGCGCAAAAGCAATAAGATGACGGATGGTACACGACATTGGTGTGTTTTATTCCCAACGCGTTTGTAGATTGGAAGCCAAATTATTTACCTTCTCGTACTTCGTAGGTTGATCATTGCACTTTTTGATGAGCTTCACTAGCTGACCATAGGATGACGAACCGTAGAGTGTACTATTTGGCGTTCCAGCTATGGCTTCCAGTTCTTTTCTGAGCATGTTGACTGTTATTTTCACGTAGAAGTATATCGAATAAGTGCGTTAAACTCTCCACGCAAAATAAGCAGTGTTAACAACGCTACTTTAATCAAACATGTCAAATTGATTCTCTCTTCAACAATTCATTCCTGAGTTGTGGTGAATTAACTACTCTTAGTTCTCACCTGCTCACCTATCAATTGTCGATAAATCGTAAGGGCGTTGGTAAGAGTATATATTTGTGTTTCTTCACAGATAAGCTTACACGAGGTTGATTAACAACTCTATTCGGCCTCCACAGTCGACATCAACAGTACGAAAGGCTGTGGGCCATCGACTTGGATCATCGGCTCTAGGAAGGATAAAGACTCCGAAACACTAGCTGAATAAAATTGTTTGTCATGCTCGTGTTAGCTTTTCGATGAAAGAATACATGTTGATCAGTCACACCGAAGCTAACGAATAGTTGGCTTCGAAGTACCTACTTGTGCCTGTACTTCATAGTACTACCTTCAAAGTGTTCCGCTGGATGGAAACACACGAACGGCACCGGTTTTCCACTGAATACCTCTGCGAAAATTTTTTAACATGAAGCCGTTACTCTCTCTAGCTCAAAATTCTTTTCTAGAAATTATCATTCAAACGCATGACCAAATCACTTCACTTGATTTTCGACCATATGTTACAGCATCACTGCTTTTCGATCGTTGATGGAGGCCGAAACTCTGTGTTTTTACTGAATTGTTATTAGGAATAATATTGGAATCTACTTGCAGATATTCCATCCAACAATGGTTATCATACCTTCTTTCATTTGCGTAGCGTCCAGGTTTCCAAGGAGTAAATCTGAGCATGAAGATCTGTGGAATAAGCAGGTGGATGTGGAGCCAGCTGTTCTTTGTCCTCATCGCTGTAACTTCACCGCTTTCATAAGCACTCCGAGCGAATCGATTATTCTTGATCGGCTATTTACTTAATTCGTTCATCACGTTGAGGTCGAAACCAAAATGTACACAGCTGGACCATTCAGTGACATTTACGGCATTGAGAAAATAGAAAACACATACGTCACCCATGAAGTTAGCACTTTTTCTTTAGTTCGACAGAAGAGCTATCTTCCCACACGTAGATTGGAAATCGACAGGTATTTGTTTCGGCAAGAAAATGACAAGTGTTACAAGAACGATATTGCGAACAAAACAATAGTATAGCTATCGATTATCAGTTCACACCCTCATGTTGGACCACTAAAACTTTCTCGTATCGAGATGGAAAACGGAGTTGGCAGATGGCATCGTCTTATCAGTCCCTACCTTTTACCACCATGACAAGATTATTGTAAAATAGTGAAATTCTGTCTGAGCAGTTGTCAGATGAGTTGGAAAAGATTTTCATCTCCTGCGCAAATACACTCTGGTTCTTCAGGGCTTCTCTGACCGCATCGCTCACAACACCGTCGATGCGTCGATAAGCTTTTTACAGTTAAAAAGGGAGAACGAAGTGGCATAATGCATCTTCGTCATGCGTCTGTGATTTTGTAATTGCTTGGGTATGATCCATAATGCTGGACCTCGTTGAAACTCTATTTGCTCGCACTGCCGTTCTTCGTCCAATCTCCTGCTAACTTTACTGAAGACAATTCGACTACAAGCTTGTGGGAACGAAGATTTGGCAATAATTTCTGAATGTTGTGCTTTCCTGTTTCCTTGGAGCAATATGATCCTGTGGTTTTTCCTTTGTAGATAAGGTTTAAAAAGCAGGGCCTGCACGTGTAGTTGAAGATTTTTTGTTCCTACAAATTTCCATGTCTAATTCTTTCAGGACCAAATGCTGTGAGAGTGTCCGTCAGAAATAAGGTGAAAGTAATGCTATGGTAAAATATTCAGCTGCCACAATACGATGTAAAAAGAAGTGTACGTGGCTGCGAAAGTCATCGAAATAGTGGTGGTGTGTGAGCATCTTCTTTAGTACTCTGTATGAAATAACTTTTTTGTCCTGCCCTGAAAGAGACACAATCTTGTTCTTACATTATAATCAACGAAATCTTGTAGAGCACTGCGAATTCTTTTCCTACATTTCTCAGCTTCCAGTAATACCGTTGCTTTTCTTCACTAAAGGATATTTTTCATTGCAATTTTGTGACTGCTTCTAGTTCTATTGCGGATCAGCATAATAATTTCTAGAGACAGGTTCTTCTCTATTGCTTTGAAACTCTCAGGTGTCTTAGCACTGGCACTAGATGAGCCGTTTGTATTTCAAAACGATGCTCTCGACAAGAACTTCATCCAAAAATAGGCTATAGAAGTGAGCAAATTCTTACTTATGACTCTCTTGCGAATTCAACTAACAAATTTGGCGGATTCCTCATCATTGGGCGAAGAGAAGAATTTTCACGAAAGTAATAGTTCACTCTTGTGTAGAATTTCGGGATGACAATTATAGAAAACGCTTTTGGCCTTCTATGATGTGGTGAATTTCGCCATGGTACTGTCCGTCCGCAGAAACGCCCTACGTCCACTGTTGAGAAATAAACTTTCTTCAGCTGGAAGTTGTCATGAGTAGCTTTGGTCATCACAGTAAATCTGACATCGTCTTAACTCTGATACCTATGAGCAATCTATAGGCCCCATACGAAGTTCATTGAAGATTCCCCAAAAGTGCAGTACGTTTGATATTTTCCACACAACAAGCCCAGTACATGTAGAACGTATTAACCTCACATGCATTCATCAAGGCTCGATGTTTAAGAGAAATTGACCGTCAACATTGTTTTCGATCGTCTATTTCAGCTTTTGCTTCATATCGATGAAGTTACCTGACATAAATTTCACCTATAGCCACGGTATACACGCTGACATTTGGCATTCTACGAAGCTTCGCTGCGTACTCGTTTACTGTGTCATAGCTGAAAGGCATACTGTCAGTGTTTTTTTTCTACTACGAACGAGAAGTGAAATAAAAATAACCTAAATCCGTCGGTCATTACAACAACACTGGTGCGGACGTTAGATCTTCGAGCTTTTAAGGAATCCATGGCTAGTTTCAGAGCCGCACCGGTGGATGTGATTCCAGAGAGAAATGGTAATGCTGCATAACGAATTTTATCCAGTAGGTAATTGACTGAAACAGGCCACCGCTCTGTATATACCCTTTTAACAACCTTTAATCGCTGTGGCAAGCTTCACAGCATCGTTTATTGATCCCAATTTTATCTTCTCCTTTTTTCTAATTGAACTGCTGTATAGAATCACTCCAACTCGATCAGCCGTCGGGGAAATCGTAAGCCCTTCCAGCACCTAAACATAACAAAATCCAAGCAAGTTTTTTAGAACAGTTCTTGCGCGTCATTTATGAACAAGCAGAGAATAAGATATAGTGCCAGTCTTATCCTTATTTGTCCATAAAATGAGAAGAATACCAACTTTCGTTATGTACACCAAAGACTGTTTGAACATATTCTGCATCGAACCCGTCGCATCAAGAACGAATAGAACGTCGGCGGGGCATGCTGAAGGCATCTGTTATATGCGCTCTATGAACCAAATGTAGAAGTTAGAAGCAATTTTGCGTATGGAAACATATGTTTTACAAAACAATGAAAGCGTTTGCAAAAATGGTGTTTAGAAAATTTAAAGAGCTCCCCCACTCACACAATTGGCTACTTAGGCGAGATGTTAGTTACAATTCGTAGCAGATCGTGTCACTGTTTCGCTCATAAAGTGCTTACAAAGTACTTGAATAGATTAATTGCCCTTCAGGAATGATGACCCTACAAGTCATTCTAAACTTGTTTATTTCGCAATAATTTTCTTCTTAACTATTAAAGTTTTTACTTAGCTGAAGACTTTAATTCATGCGACAGCATTTTTCGCCAAGCAACTACGCTGGCACAAGTATTGTGAGCGAAATTTTTTGTTTCTTTTTCAAATTGCTTTATATTTTTTCTAAACATTCAAATCAAAAAATTGGGAAAAATCGTTAGCGTAATGATAAGAAAATGGCATTTTCGAACTACTAGAATAAAGTAGAAGTTGAAGTCAGTAAACGAGGCTGTGTGCCGAATTATAAGTAGGGGTTCATTCTACCAATTTGGTTCCCTAAGCTAAGAATAAATTAATGTTTTCAAGTCGAAGCAGCCAATAGTCCATATAACATCAGAGACCTGTGAGCTATCCGTGGCTGACTTTTCGCCACTAACACATGAGAAAGGGCGAAATGCCAAAAAGTATGATGTTCTTATACCTTTCGTACCCTTCAGTAGGTTGAGCCCACTGAACGTCGAGGATTAGTGCATTTTAGTGGTGGCCGCTCAAGCTAGTTGGAAGGAATGCGGGAGAGCGCTCTGGAGATTGACCAATCCGTAAATGATGCACTATGAATTAGACTCCATCAAGCATCGTAGGGGTGAATGTATGCATATCTAGTATATGCAATGATCTTCGGTGGTTTACCGATATACCAAGTCAGCACTTCCCACCGTAAAGCCTTTACGTAGGTCAGCCTAGTACACGCGATAGAATCAGTGATTCACTTGTGCTGTGTCGAATACCTGTAACCATTTCCCCATGGGCACCCACACTAGATGCTAGATGATTAACGGGTTCGCAAGTGATATAAGTGCTACTTTCACTAAATGTTTTTGATGGACGATACAAGTTTTGAAGTTGTAAAGTAACCACTTTTAACACCTAACACAAAGGATGTGTTATATGCTATTCATGTGCTCAGTAAACAAAGTGGACGAAGTGCTTCGCACTCTATGAACTTCCTCACAGTGGTTTGTTCTGTTAGACAAAGGTTTCTGTTGCGCTTTTCATACTCATTGGCTAGCTTGTACAACATAAATGTTATATCACTCATGGTTCATGAAAAGGTCATCTCTGCGTTTAACAATTTACAAAACTTCTCCTTTCGAACGAATCAATTGGCCGTTACCCTGACTGATAACTGCTCAAAAGATTCATTCAAAAATGTTAATACACCCTAACCGTTGTGATTATTCACGACTCTCCTTTGGAATAGGTAACTAGGTATTTAAAAAATGATGAAATAGACTCAAAATATGCTACAAAACGTTCACACATTCTTAAAGCAAAGTACTATGGACACCTGCAGAGCGATGGAGCAAAGTAAAAGAATAAAATGTTAAAGCTCTCGGCGTTAATCAATCCCTGAGGGATGCACCATGCATTTGACTTCACTAAGTATTGTTGGAGGTGATTGAATGCATATCTGGCCTTTACAGTCACTCGCGCTGACCTATCAATGTGTTAACCCAGTGCTATTATCCTACTAGACAAGTCTGGTGCCAATTTGCCGACCTTGGAAGGATGGAAGGCTTGGTAAACCTTAGGTGCTGGAATCGATCCCATGTGTATTGCTGGGCACCTCCGACCACTGCGCTACACGCCTTATTATGAAGCAAAATGATTCTATAATACCATGACGTTCTCAACCCTTCAAATAAACAAGAAAATGGCAAGTTTGTAAAGTCAACCAAGCAGAATTAGAAGTTCTGCGTTATGTGTTAGTAGCTGATGCTTTTGTTCGAAGATACTAGTCGTGAAATTGTGAATCACTAGAAAATCACTATACGGATGACAGAAACACTTCTAGGAAGAGACTTGAGCAATATAGTAATAGACCGTTTAAAATTACTTGATAAAATTGTGAACAGACGGAAATGGTAAGCAATTGTTGCACAAATAATCGAATCAAAGACACTTCTGTGTCAACTGGACACAGTCAAAGTATAAATCTGAAAAATAGAAATTTCGATAAAGTGCAAAAATCATATCTCACCAATTCCACTTTCTTGTGCTGTCTTGCCAAGATCTATCATCAAATCCATAAGTCCAGTAATGCGGCTGCCGTTTTCGAATTTGGAGACCTATAAGGATACATGCGGTGGTGGATTCCAGCTGAGCAATGACAGTGCTTCTTACCGATGGCTCATAATTCCTACGTTGTATTGGTCTATACCGAACAGCTTTTGGATTTGATAAAGAATAAGCGTGGGAATCTGCGGGTGATATAGTTGATGCAATATCATAGTAGCCCACATCCTGAGAACGATTCAGTTCCTCTCGAACAATTCGATAACACAACAACATACAATCATATAGCATCAAAGGTGTGTTTACTAGCTAAACGAACCGCTTTTACGATCGACGCAGAAACAATCACGAGGAGAATTTGCATCTGAAACAATCACGAGATGGGACACAAAATAAAAAATCAACATCGAAGGCTATAAGACCATATTACTTGCAATCCTAACTGAAAATGCTCATCAAAAAACGGTGAGTAGCGCTTTATCCTAGCCCTTTGTTCAAGTTTGGTTACATTTTAGGGAGTTTAATGATGAGAGAAATCAGCAGGAAGCGAGTACGAGAAAGACCTTGAGTGTTGATTTCTGTGTGACAAAAATCGGAGTCATTCAACCTTGCGGTGATTTCTGCGGAAACTGCGATCATATCATGTTAGTACACTAAGCAATAGCTTCAAACTGGTATTTGGAAAAAAATGGTTCATTAATTAGTATGATTCCACATAAATTTTTGACTTCTAAGACGGCTTAACATTTAACCCTAAATATTAGAATTTTTAGCTAAAGGCTTGTTACGGGGTGAACGCATAATTGCCTACGCTCGCCTGACAGTAACCCTTTTTGAAAACGTCGAAGTCAGCATTTACTTCCATTCTTGCTTAGATGCAGTCTTATCATACGAACAAAATTCAAATTTCTGCTCTTACTACATGGCTAAAAATACGGACGATGAGGGTGAAATGCTAAGAGACCGTTAGACATTACTCGATTGACTAATGTGATTGATCCAATACTGAAAAGCTCGAGGAATGAATTTATCCTTTTTCTACAAAGCTTATAAAGCTCATTTTCGAGTTTTTCGCTCCTATAAAAATACTTGGAAGCCCCTTTATAGAAGAAATTGACTTTTTTCAATTATAGTCGATTAAAACACCCACAAATTCAGCCTTTTGCGCCTTAATTGACAACGCAAAAGGTGTACTACTGCGGCTAATGGGCGTTGTATGAATAACAACATTGCGATCATGGAAGAACGTTGCAAGAGAGAAGTGGGTGAAATCTGGTAGTCTGATTATCAGCCACTGTAGTAGACTTCCTGTCATGACAAATTGGTTAAAAGTGTCAGCAATTTTGCGGTAAACGCCTTCCATTTGTGTCCTTTACGAAAGGGTGTGTTCAATGTGATTGCCGGAAGAGTGGGCGATGTCTTGACCCTATAACAGAGAAGACTATAGTGTACCCTTCTGTACCTAACTTCCGTTTCGTTCTACAAGAAGCCGCTTGTCAAAATACTCTAAAGGTGCTTTTCAATGAACTAATGGATTACCGTTGTTTGCATGACTCTTTTGGCATCTCTCGTTGAGAAGGATCTAAAAGTTTTAGCAAAACATATTAGCGTTTGTGAGGAGCATTATTAAACTATGCAATTAATGCTGCAGTGCATTAACAGAACTGAAATTATTTTAAAATGTCAAGCGGTGAATGGCATGTGATACAGTGGTTAGAGGTATCAATGCTATACCCATGGTCTTTAGTTCAGTTCGGCCTTATGGACTAACCACGACCCACATTCCTTCGAGATCGGCAAACTGGTACTAGTTTTGTCTAAGAGGATACCAGCACCGACTTGATCCATCGCTGGGCAACAGCAATTCATAGCATAGGTCAGTTACGCATTCATTCACGCATGGAATGTTCAGTGAAGTCGAAAGCGTGGTTTTCTCTGGACATCGAACAGTGCTTCATCTTTCGACTTCTATAGTCATACGGAGTTATATATTTATTGAAGGCGGTTTGAGATCAATTGCTACAACTAGACCTCACGTCTAGATCATTTCATATCTTCCCAGGGAGCAGATCTCATGAAGCAGTTCAAAAGCACCACAATGATGACTATTGATATCACTTCGAATCTGATCAATTAAAGCGATTACCGGTGGCATCTTTGATATGGTGGTTGATAAATAGGTCACTATAGGGGGAAGTTTTTTTCATTCGTACGGTGTTCCATTCATTCCACTCGATTCGGCTCTACAATTTCCTCGACAGCTCACTTGTGGCAAAAAATAACTGCAGAGGTATTTCGACTCGAGTAACTGCGGCTTTAAAAGGTGGACAGCCAATGAAGAGCTATAGGAAGTACTGCCTTTATGTAAATAATTTACCACTAATGAACATTCAGTCAAGAACAGTTTTGTAGAAAGGGCATTGTCGGGTGAGGTTCTAATTTGAACTGTGCTCCACTCCCGAATATTCGACTGCATGCGACTACGAAGGGCAATATCGCGAGCACAAACGGCTGTGGAGAATTGAATCCATTCATTTTGACTCTGAAGGAGGCGAACACATCGAAACGTTAAACAAATAAATGTGTTGTAACAAGTCGTCTTAACTCATCAGTGGGAAAAAAATACAGTGGGTATTTATTCCGAAGTTAAACAAATGTCGGTTAACATAAACATTACCTTCCAATAGTCTACAAATGAAATATATTGATTTATGCGTCGCTTTCTTGGTCAGCAATCGCGAGGTTGTTATACAGATACATTTAATTCTATGCAAAAACACACAATACATTACAGCAGTAGCTGATTTTTCGGCAGTATCGCCTTCTTCAGAACATGGAAGGGTATGCTGATATACAACTTACTAGGCCAAACGCTCCAAGAACACATACAGAAAGATGAGAATCTAAATGACAATCACATGGGCAATAGCTTCTCGAAAAAACCCACCGCCTTTTTTTTACGTGACTTCCAATGAGGAAGATTAGAACGGCTGATTATGGCCTCATGTGGTTGATGACTGCAAGACCCCACTTCAGAAATTGATGCGAAGGCACGTGGCCAGGTCGCGCATGACTTCTGGACATTCTTCCCTGTTGTTCATTGCAGGGCTTTTGGCATTTATCCAAAAAGCCTCAAGAAGCTTGCGCGCTGGTGTTTTGGCATCCTGTACGAGGGCAGTAACTTTTACGTCAAGATCGTGTCCGCTATGCTTTTGTATGCTATGCGTGCCTAGTGAAGTACTTTGTCATGCATATCGTTTGCTATCTAGGTGTTTTTTTTATACGGTTATATAAATACCTGCCCGTTTAGCCAATATATTCATCTCCTTAACTATTATAAGAGATCAGGTATATCGTTCCTGAACTCATGCAATCACCGTCCCTGCCGTAAGCGCAAATAGCGCAGTTTGTTGTTTCACATAGACGGCCATACAAGCCGGTATGAAATAACTGACGACGTAGAGTAACCGGTGGTATTCCAACTATCGCTACCGATTCCTCTAGGCCTGCCCTTCTTAAGCATCGTTTTATAGCTACGCTTACTTTATCGCTAATAAAGGGCAACACAAACGAGATTTTCCTTGGGAAAAGTGTTTCGTTTTGGTGCGTCGCTTTCCTTCTAAACTTATCCCATGCGATAACTACTTCGTAGCCATTGGAGATGGCTATTTGCCGAGCCAAGTCGCGCGATTCTTCCTTTAGTTCCCTGGTTGTGCACACAGAGGTGGCTGTTCGAAACATGCTTCTCACAAGCGCCCTCTTTGTGTGTGAACGATGGGAAGAGAGCAAATGAACCAGGATGCTTTTTTACTTGGTTTTCGGTACCACTTTGTCATGTAACCGCTACTTGATAAGCTGATTTGAACGTTAAGAAATGGAAGCCAGGCTTTTTTCGTTGTGCTGCTTTAGAGAGTTAGAAATAATGTTTTCAGAGTTGGTTCTTTTTGAAACTACGAGCAACCACTTTTCCGTTTTATTAAAAAAATTTCAAATCCACTGAAAAGTAAACTAGAATTCTATTTACTGAAAACTTTCCGAATTAAGGGTAGAATAGTCGATCCACTAACTCGCACCTTCCTGTTAATCTGGTGAGGAAACTGAACACCCCTATCCCACACTGCTTCAGTGAAGCGTTGATGGAACACAGATGTTATGGTGCATCCCTTCGACGTTAGTACACACATTGACATTGTTACCATTTCTTTAGATAGTGTTGTGAGATAAGGGATGGGATTCCGGCAACTTGGATGGTGATACAATACAATGAGTCTGATTGCACAACGACAGTGATACTTTTCTAAAAATCTCAGGTGATATGATTTCATATGTGAATTAGCCTTTTAGGAGGCTACCACTGTTTCTACTTATCTCTCAGCGATTTCCTTCGCACTCTGCAGACGGAACAAATAAAAAATATTGCAAGTGGCTTTACCGAACGAGACTGATTAGTCAAATGTGATGTTCTTCTTTTACATTTTCAAAACAATCCAATAGATAATATTAGACATCTTTTTCTTTTCTATTAATGTCGCATTGTTTTATATTATAAGTGCGTGGAATGTGTATGCAGCGTAGTGGTTAAAGGCGCTCTGCTATACAAACGGACTCGATCCCGCGTCCCACGCCCACTGAGCCTTCCAACACTTCATGTTGCAAATTGGTGCCACAATTGCCTGAGAGGTTAGCAGCACTAGTTAATTCATCGGGAAGCCACTATGATTCATTGCATAGGCCAGATATGAATTCACTCACCTCTGACTGTGTTTGATGAAGGCGAATGTATGACGCACCCATCACGGCTTGGTCGGCGCTGAGAGCGTTATTCTTCCTTTTATAAATTCGTGATACACAGGGCTAATTCACTGATAGAATCCCATCTGACTGGTCGAGAGACTAACTGATGCGTCTCAGGTGTGGGCAAACAGTTTAAGGAAGATCACTGCAGGCTAATAGAATAAAGCACATCTGTTCAAATTCGGCTTTGTAGGTGAGCTTCTTAACGCAAAATTCAACTTTCTGAGTAAAGCCCGAGTACAACGTTCGTCCTCAGAGAAGAAAGAGCTACACTAATAATCTCCATGGATGATGCTGCGTAGCATATAGACCTCTTAGATTGTGAGATCTGTTCTAGATCTAGAATCTTTAATATCGAGCAGGATTTGAGCGAACACTGAAAGCAATTCCTTACAAATTTTCCAAAACTACTCACTTTCTCAAGAGGGTGAGCCAGCGAAAGGGAATCAGTATAGTAGGCATGCTTTTATAAATTCATTTCTCCATTTCCCTAGTCATTACCGAAATTAAATTTGCTTTAGGATAGAATTCTTCACTCAACGGTTGGATGGCGTGTGGACGAAGTGCAGA